AAATAAAAATTTTAGAAACGGAGTTACATTTGTCTATATGTATTATTAACTACAAATATCATTGCCTATAGATCGTTTTCCTACGCGGGCACTTTTGCACAAACATAAAATTAAGGTTAAGTTAAGTAAGAAAAATAATTTGCATTTTGATAGCAGAAATTTGTGTTTTAAAGCAGAGAATTTGTTTTAAAATAAAGAACTTGTGTATCTAAAGCAGAAAATTTGTGTTTTAAAGCAGAATTTATGTTTTTAAAGCAGAGAATAGTACATGTAGGCAATCGAGCTGTATTAGGCAATAATACATGTAGACAATCGAGCTGTAGGCAATAATGTATATAGGCAATCGATCTGTAGGTAATACATGTAAAAATGTGACATTTCGTCTCTGAAAATTTTGTGTGCGCAAAAGTGCTTGTAGGCAATAATACATGTAGGCAATAGTACATGTAGGCAAAAATAACTCCGTTTCTAACATTTTTATTTGTGCGCAAAAGAGCATGTAGGCAATCGAGCTGTAGGCAATCAAGCTGTAGGCAATAGTACATGTAGGCAAAAGTAACTCCGTTTCTAAAATTTTTATTTGTGTGCAAAAGCGCATGTAGGCAATCGAGTTGTAGGCAATCGAACTGTAGGTAATAGTACATGTAGGCAATAGTACATGTAGGCAAAAGTAACCCCGTTTCTAAAATTTTTATTTGTGCGCAAAAGCGCGCATGTAGGCAATCAAGCTGTAGGCAATAATACATGTAGGCAATTGAACTGTAGGTAAAAGTGATGTAGGCAAAAGGTACTGTAGGCGATCGATTTGTAGGCAAACGGGATCCCCCCGCTCAATTCTTTTAGATTGAACGTTACATATGTGACGCTACATTCTTTTCATGCATTTTCACTGTCTAGCGTCAATTTTGATCACAAATAACCTATTTTAAAGCTACAAATGAGTATATCGAGCATTAGCATGAAAAAACACCTTAAAAGTATAAAATATTGCAATAATCATTCTGATATTTTGTTGTTTATGATATGTACTTGTGATAAATGTATTTTAATCTATATTAGTGAATTGTCTCATAATTGGTGATATAGTTCTCATGTTCACAAGCCACAGCTTCATTATATTGATTAGAATCAGATTTGCTGTCTATTTTAAACGCACGGAATATAACATGGTGAGATAAGACAGTGTTAAACTCGCCATCTAAAAGACATAATTGTAACATAGTATTAAAATCTAATAAACATTTAATTATTTCAGTTGTTTTTGTATGGTTATATTATTCGCGCATTAATCATGTTATATTCATAATCTTCTAATTAATTATTCAAATTTATAACGACAGAAAAATATATCGTTACCGATGCAAAACTTTCCAGCGACGCCATAATTACACCACCGATATTGAGCACATAACCTTTTACTGTTCTTTGTAGTATAAATATGAAAAGTTTTTGGATATGCACGGGTGCTGCATACCATGGTATATCGTACCTATGTAATTGCAAAGAAAATGTGACCTGTTTTTCTTTCTTTTTATTAAGATTCTTATTAAATATGTAACACTATTTGTGTTTTAATAAGTAAATAACGTATCATGGATTAATTCTAAAAACTTACACTTTATCAAACATAAGAATACTACGATCTGTTAGTTTTTGTCCAAAATAATTGACGAAAAACAAAAAAGCATACTGGCCTCCACTAAAAGAGCCAGATGCTATTAATTCCGCAAAATCATTCATTGCTAAAATAGCCTCGATTAACTAAAAACATAGTATTTTTAACTAATTTTCAAAATTTTTTATAATTAAAAAATATTTTATTGTTACAACAGAAAGAATAGAACATATAAAACAGGACTAAGAATATTTATCTTAAAAAATAACTCACACGGAACATGTTAATAGTTATTGCAATTAATCCAAGTACGAGCATAATAAAATAAGTTACCTTGAATGTGGACGTCAGGTAGTCTAAAAATCTTTAACAGTGAAAAATTGCATGAATTAAATATGTATAATATCTAAGTTAACGCATTAATTTTTTTTCACATTGAAAATATATGTAAATCATTTTTTAGTAAAAAAATTAAGATATTTTGCATCTTTTTTTCATAATTGATATACTCACTCAACTGTTCTTGTATGGACATTTATGACTTTTACAATTCTGGCGTGAATTATGGCATATTTTTCATTTGTATTTACTGAAAACATTCCGTCATCGAAAACATGTTTCAAACGATAGCTATAAATATAGATTCATATTATTTTTGGGTAAATAAGATATAATATATCAAAATCTCTCTCTCTTTCTCTCTCAATCCATTAAATACAATTATCATGTATTTGAGTGTAACAGTTATACATATCTCTTTTTCTATAATTTATGTCATAATTTACTTTGTTTCTGCCATGGCTATGCCGTGTTTTGTAACAATAATAATTAGGGATGCACTGAATATCCGGAAAATCTCCAGTATTTGGTAATATCCGATATCTTTACTATTTGGTCGGATGGCCCGATATCATTAATATCCGGCAATATATGTATATCTGATTGAAATTTTATATTGAAAGTTTGCGTTATTGATGCATAATTTTATTCTTTTCAGCTGAACTTTTTGCATAGTTCTTTTGTATTTTTCTTTCCACGTTGGAAAAATAAAGGAAATTATTATCGCTATTTTTCCCTTGCTTTTTTTTAGAATTTTGGGGAATTTGTACTGGATATCTCGGAAAATATCCAAGATCCAGCCAGATAATTGCTCTACCGGATATTAGATATTCGGTATCATATTCTTTTCGGATATCCAATATCTGGTATCCGGTAATTTTATGATTCAGTGTATCCCTAATAATAATGCTAAATTCATTGCTAAATTCATAGAATTATGTGATGAAGTAAAAAGAAAGAATATATTAATATCTTATATATTTTATATAAAATGACAAGAAAATATTCAAAATGCGTTATTATTTCCAAAAATTTGCAGTATCTCACCTAGTCACTTCAAACAGTCCACAAGCATGTAGAATATATAACATATTTAATGATGAAGTTGCAACTATTGCTATTACGCCTAGCACAATTGATAATGATTGATGCACCAGAATAGAATAAAAATATTTCTGTTCATCGAGAATACAATATTCTGCTAAGAGAGGTAATTTCCTCGAACGAGATTCATTTAAGGGATAGACAAAATCAAGAAAACTCGGCAAATAAAAACCCAAAATAAAGCTAAACAGAAGTGGCAAGAGAAAAGCTAAAACAACATCATACTATTACATATCAGAAATGGATTACAAAGCAGTTTTCGTTATTTCCGTGTTCATATGTTTGTAATTTAATGAAAGTGGTAAAATTTCTGATATCCTACCGAAGAAAACTATTGTGTATCGCATTCCGAGTATAGCATGATAGCGTATAACTTTACATTCTGTTTCATCTTTTAATGTATTCCAATCATATTGAATTCTATTCATCATACTTTTTATCTAATAATGTTAGTGATAATTATATATATATAAACGTTAACGCCAATATTATATTTAAATCTTAATAATACATTTTTTATAATTAAGTAGAATAAGTTAATAATCTAAATTAAATTGTTCATACACGTACTCTATCAATCTTAATAATAAAGTTAAGAAAGTTTATAACATAGATGAGACAAGGAATAGTATACGTTAGACTATACAGAAAACCGTCAAGATCGTGAACCATGCTTTGCAATTTGATGAGCTGCAGAAAAAGTTTTATTATATTTACAAAAATGCTTTTTTTTAAAGAAAGATGTTAAAGATATTAAATTACCGTTGCAGTTATCTAATTCTGTTATTTTTATACATATTAGTTAAAGTTAATTAGAATTTTTCTGATATTTATAGAAATGATTCATAGATGTAAAAATAAATGAAGGATATAATATGAGCATTATAAAATAAATATTAAAATTAAACTAAATAAAATTATAATTTAATGTAAATATAAGAAATATTAGTATATGTACGCATAAAAGAAATACTAATTTTATATTAAATAAATACATGAAAAAAATTACCTGAGTAATACTAGTAGATATAAGGACAAAAATCGTAAATGCTCTATAAATATATATATACATAGCATTATTATAAGGCCATAATCCTGTCATTTCTAGAAAGAAGCGATTGATTCTATAGTAACGCTGACCGTTAAAGTTCATTTCACTTCAAAAGCTTCACTATATTTGTCACGAGTATATCGAAAAAGCTCATTTTTTTCCGACAATATTTATTATTGATGATCACAATCATAATTTTATCGCAAATTTTATAATTTTATTTAGGAGATCGTGGTAAAAAAAATACGACGATCAAGGTAAATTAAATAAAGTACGTGATGGAAAACAAATATTCGCCGCTTTCATCATTTATTCATACATATCTTACGCACGCGCGATTGTCACTATTCCGATGAATATGACCCACGTTAGTGAGTCTTTATTTTCACACAAGTTGTTGAATCGTGAAGACGATATTAAGTTTTATATGTTACATATTTAGTGCTTCAGCATATATTATATTAAAAAAAATATTAGAAGGTAAAGGAAAAAGAAAATATTATATTAAAAAGTTGTTTATAGTATACATATATATAATTGACTACATAATTGATACACAATAAGTCACATGCCACAAAAAGTATCTTATTTATTGTTAATTATAGTACATATTTATTTAGTCAATTTAAATTAGAAAATTAATATTATAATTATACATCGATATATATACGATATTGTTAATGATAAAAAAGACAGAGAGGTAAAAAATAAAATATGTTTTAATTCTCTAAAAATATGTTTTAATTTATGACATAATAGTAAAAATTGCAAAAAGTGAAAAATGTATTTTATTGTTGTTTCAAAATTTATTTTAATAAATATCCAGAGAAATATATGTAGTAGAGAAATATATGTACTGATTGCATTTAAAAAACCTGCGATTTGAATTTTTTAAACATGACTATTATGCTTTTCATGGCTTTCTTTGTGTACTCCCATGGATTGAAGGACCATAACGTAGGATATAGACATACTCATAAGCTGAATATAATAAATATTAAAAATCATTTTTTCTTTTATAAGATTAATCAAAGGAAATTGCTCATAATTCCTTATGCCCATAATTTCTTATAGTACCTTAGCGAAACCTTCTAATGACGCATCAAATAAACCTCCAGCCGTTAAAGCACTCTTCCTGTAACTTCTTTGCATTATAAATAGTATCAGTTTTTGCATACATAATGGCGCAGCATACCAGTGTGCATTATATCTGTTAATACATATACAGATTCACATGTATAGAAATTAATAATGATAAATATATATTTAATTAAATGAAGTGATTAAATAATCAAATAAATTTTTTCATTCTTATTAAATTTTGAAAATTGTAGGTCATGACAAAAGTTCGTAGCGATACTTCATTTGTATCATGTCTACATATTTTTTAAAAAATTTAGCCATTATATCATTCGATAAAGCAATCTTACATTTAAAAAAATGATTTTGTAGTTTAAAAAAGCTACAAATAACTCAAAAAATTTTAAGTTATTTAACTTAAAAAATAACTTAAAAAATTTTAAGCTTTCACTAGATATATTCAAAAAATGAAAAATTGTGTATTCTTAATTATTCACATATTACAGCGAGTATTAGAACCATCAAAATTGTATTATAAATGTATCAAAAATATAAAATTAAAAAATGTATTTAATACTTACGTTGCTTGACAAATGCTAATGCTGCTATCTATGACGTCTTGTCCAACATAATTTCCCAGAAATACATAATATAACTCTACCGATATAAAGGTACCGGATATCAATAAGTCCATTTTTTCCAGGGATATTACTGCATTATAAAACTTGAATCGAACGTTGTTTATTAATTATCTTATTTAATATACCTTTTGTAGTTATATACCTTTGTATATCATAATAATTAACCTTTTTTGAATAAATGATATTGTGTTCTTTTTTTCGCAATAATTGCATTTACGCTTACATTAATGAAAGAGACACTCATCAAAGCCACAGCAAGTCCTAATAACACGAAATACAATGTCGCAAAACTGTTCGTCAAAATACTGGCCAAACTTCAACAACAAAATGTGTATTTTTATTAATTCATTGCAATAATATTTAAGCCTTTGTACTTAGCCTTTTCTGCGAGGATTTTTAGACGCATCTAAAGTTGTAAGAAAAATAGTAATTTTTATTAGATTTAGATTTGTTTTTATTAAATTTGTTTATAAAACAACACTAAAAAAAAAGTTTGGTAATAACTACCAAATGTTTAGTGAAATAATGCCAATTAAATGTTTAGTTATAACTAAATATTTTTAAAGGTAAAATTATGTTTAGTTATATTAATCAAACATTTATAATTGGCATTATTTTACTAAACATTTGATAGCTATTACTAAACTCTTTTCTAAGCAAAGTTACTTTTTACATGAATATAAAATAATGTTTACAATATACCGCGACAATAATTTTTGTTTGCTGAATTGCCCAGGCAAAATAGGCTTCGAGTGTAAAGGAACGATATACACTAATACTAACTCTATAGCTCTGCAATGAATATATACAGCCTGAATTAATCTGTTGTAAAGTATATATTGTTTAATATCCTTTGGCATTTGTTGTATATTTTCATTAAATATGTTTTCTATTCGATAGCTATGAAAATACGACATTACTAAACTTATTACAATATTAGCATTTTTAAGTAAATCAATGAAATCAACAATCGTGATAATTAAAATCACTATTGTTTTTACCTGGCGATTTTAAACATGGCGCATGTGTGCAGTGAGTATGCTATGTGTAATGATGCGCTAGACAATATTGTCATACTACCAGCATACAAAGCTACGGTAATATGTGTCAAAATAGCGATAAGGTATGTTTCTTCATCAACAAAGTATTCCACTAAAATTAATGTTTGTCGCGGCCGCGATTCATTCATTGGTACGATCACATTGAGTATATGGGGTAAACAAATTATTACTAGGAATCCCAATGAACTGCTAATAATCAAAACTGAAGCAAGCGAATTATGCCACGTATTTGACGTATTATAAAAAGCAATGTATATTTTCATATGTTATAAATAAAAATACTAGTACGGAGAAAAAAATTATACGGTATATATTAATCTAATTACATTTGCATCTAAAAGTATGTTATAATTTAAAAAAATTTTATATAATTTTTATAAAAAAATGTAATTGAATATTTTAATGAAAATATGAATACAATCGTGTAATGCACATAAAAACAAATTACATAATTAATTATTATATAAGTATATTGTATAAATAAATTAATGTAAAAGAGTATATACTACAAAAAAGAATTACACGACTGATATTTAATTTTATATCTTACGTGTATAACCGATCGTAAATAATTTTGCATGGCTTGCGTATTTTCGTATCATTTCCAATTCCGTTTGAACTTTTAATATATTCCAATCATATCGAACTCTATCAAAGATATATTTAATCTGTGATATAAATAAAATATTTCATTCTGTACATTTTTTTGGTATTATTTCCTATTATATATACATATATATAACTATTTTTTATTATTTTTATATAGTCGTTACGTTAGCAGTTTTTAATGTCTTGTTTAACATACATATATATCGAATAATTATGTCATACACTAAGTATATATGTGGTATTACATATAATGAGCAATTAAAAACAATTTTTTTAATTTATAATAATTTTATAAAAACGAAGAATTCCAAATACACATTAAAAGTATATGAATACTTACATTATCGGTAAGTAGGAGACATGCGTTATATTTTATAATAAAAATACAAGTCAGAATGATAAACAATAAAGTTTTCAAGATATGATCCATGCTGTATTTTTTTATGAGAAATATATTGCACTGAAAGTAATAGTCTTAATTATCGTTGCAAAATTTGAGTAAACATAAGTTTATCCAATTACTTATATCTTATATTATAGGCAAGTTTTGTATTTAAATAAGTAACATGCATGTAGAGAGAGAGAGAAAGAAAAATCACTGAATACCTGACATATCAGAAAAGATATGAATAATGTTTGGAAAAAGATTATTTGAATTTTCTTCAAAGTTCGAGTTTGATAAGGCCACAGACCGAAACATAGCAGAAGAATTTTATTTAGCTTATAGTATCGTTCCCCAGCGAAGTCCATCTTCGGCGAAAGCTAAAATGTGTATGTCAGGAACAACGTCGCGAAACTGCGTTTCCCCCTCCATGTGTCAAACTTAGGTAAATTTTTCTTTCTCAAGCTAATAGCATAATTTTAAGGATGGCGATAAGTTCATCGTGGGATAAACAGCAGATGTAAGAAATTCATAAAGTATTAGCGGGGGGAGAGGATGGGTGTAAATAAGAAAAATTAATTTTTCTCGAGTTTCTTCCCCGACTATAGAATGAAAATAAGTTATTAATATAATATTATCAAAATTGACAATCCATCGTATATCTTTTCCTCGGAAGTACTTTTTTTGTTAATAAAATAAGTTATCAATGTTATTGCAAAGACTAGAAGTATTACCGATAGCATAGACCATTTTATTTTGATACGAGTCAACTTTGTCATAGTGTCGCATATCATAACAATGTCTTAGCAATATCTATGTATACATGCACAAAATAGTAACATTTTTCATATTTTGTGTCTATTAATTCGAATAAAAAGAAATCGGATTTGATAGTGCAGTAATATAACAAACATTTTGCGAAAGTGTAGAAAATGCAGATTATGATATCATGACATAATTCCTCGTTCATGGATAAAGAAAGAAGACATAAACTGTTCTAATTACCTTTTCATGAAATTTCGTATGTTCAACAATACATGTACCGTCCTCTATCTCGCTAGACATTGCATTTTTGTTATTCTCTTAATTTTAATTTGTAAAACTTGTTCATGTAATATTTGTAACTTAATCATTAATCCATTTATCCATTTATCAAACACAAATATTTCTAATAATATCGTTGGTTTTAAAATCGTGATCTGAATAAATAATATAAAAGCACATGTAATATTTTGCATATATGTACGTAATATATTAAAAGATATATATTTTTATGTATCTTATATACATGTATAGTATGGTGCCCGTGCGTTCCGTGAATAATGATTCGGGCCTTAGTCACGCCGACAATAATTTATCGTTAAGGAGTTTGATATAAATACGAAGATTGCTCCCTCTTGACGATGATTGTTTGATTTTGATTTCGGTGCTCAGTTTTTGACACAGAATTAATTCTGTAAAACATTCATATCAAATTCTCACCTAAAGAAATTATATTAACCTATGTCTCTATTTTTGTGAATGCTATGAGGTGTGTAAAAGCTTATCGAGTTTATGCGATATTTGCGAGTGTGCAACGAGCGGAGCTAAGGCCCGAACCATTCGATTTTTACAGGACGTAAAAGCATAACATTATACATGTATATAAAATTACGTATTGTGTATGAATTGTATAATAAAAATACGCACTAAAGCCTATATACATATATAAAAACTTTTTTAAAACTTGTAATTATATAACCATATAAGATATTTAATACATAATACAATATAATATAACATTAAATAACATGTAATAAATAAGTTGAAAGAAGAATTATTCTTATGTCTAAGACAATTAACATCAAATTACCTGAATTATTCTTTTGTGCAAGATAATTATATATAATATTAAATTACCTGAATAAATATTTTCATTTGATAATGTTAAAATAATTTGTATAAGATTCTACAGTAAAACTGCAGAAAAGGGGAGCACCCGTCGACGTATGATGTCAAGATCATCACCCTGAGTAACCTCCAACAAGTTTTAACCGTCGCTCGCTGTCCGTTAAAAAGTATTGTAATTAACAAAAAAAGTTTAAAAAATAATGAAAAAATAACGGCTAAATATAAATAGGCGTTAGGAGTCAACGCTGAATATTATATTACGCTATGTTAACTAATACCTATTGATACATATATCACAAATTCAATTTTGTACGTTTCAGTTAAAAAATAATGTCTCATTTCTATAACGAAAGTTGTAAACCTATATAGAATCTCGCTTTGTGTTGAAAAGTGTATGTGTGGATCCAGTGGTAGAGTGAAAGTCGTTTTGCATTAAAAAAGGGCCACCTCACACCAAAAAATAAGTTGGGTTATAGGATTAGGTTTTTTTTAACGCGAAACGACCCCACCTCCCTCTCTACTTGGAGGCGTACGACTTCCACGCGAAGCGACTTTCGAAATCGTGATCCTGAGTGATTTCTAACAGGACTTTGAAAGTTGCTTCATGTGGAAGTGCCCCCCCCCCGCCCCCCCAAGCAGAGGGGGAGGTGAGGTGGGAGTTGCTTTACGTGGAAAGTCATTACGTAAGCAAGGAGAAGGGTGTAGGATAGTTTCTAATATTATATATAGCAGAAATAAAACGTTATTTTTTCAAACTTTTTTTGTTAATAACTTTTTAACGAATAACGAGCGACGGCTAAAACTTGTTGGAGGTTACTCAGGGTGATGACTTTGACAATATATGTCAAAGCCAAGGTCGTCGGCGGGTGCTCCCCTTTTCTGCAGTTTTACCGATTCTACGAATATAAAAAACTTTTCTTGTGAGTAATTATTTCGAAATTATAGTATAAATTACTATACCGTAAAGTAAGATATTGACATGCTCGCAAGCTGCAAATTTACGTTTTAATTTAGATAAAATTTAAGATATAGTTATTACAAACTTAATTGTATTGATTACTGTAGAAAACCTTCTCAGCGAGACTACAAATATATCAAAAACGAAAGTAAAGTTTTTTGAAGTTCTCTGCATTATGAATAATAACAATTTTTGTGCACACGTACTGGTGCAGTATACCAGTAAGAATCATATCTACATAAAACAAAGAAAGTGAATGTTTTAATTATAAAATATTTTAAATGCTTGTGGCAGTATCATACTTTGACAAATATTAGTTTTTAAATATTTTTGAGTGTATATTT